CCAAAGAAAATAGCCCGGATAGTAGTAGAAAGTATTAGATGAATAATTACTACCTATAAAGTCTCGGATAAGTATGAGATTAAAAGTTTAATTCAATTTAAGATAATTCAACCCTTGGGAGTGAAAATTTGGGATATTCAAAACCTCAAACAAAAAGCAACAATTAAATAGCATAAGATAACTTTATTGAAAGACCCCTTTAATGTTTCAAATATTATTCTAATTACTTCTGTTTCATTATCATTATTATGAATAATTCGCTAACTTCAATTTCATATAACCGGTGTAGAAAACAGTCAGATTTCAAAATCAGTTAACCAAATATTCACCCAGATTGTTAGGTACATATTGCATTTCACGTTCTTGGCCGTTGAGAGTGAGGGTGTAAATCCCTTAGAGCCGAATTTTCTTGTTTCAACTTTATTATCGTCACTTTTGTTATGTTACGGTGTGATTTTTTGGCACCTATATACATAATATGCACTCATGTGCTATTAATTGCAATTAAAAATAGAAAATAATAAATAAGTACAAACGATATTATAACCATTAATTCGGTCAAAGTAACTATTAAAAAACCCGTAATCAAATCATTAGACGTTATAAAACACATTTCACAATACAACTACTCACTGCATTATAATCAACCTAAACGTTGATTAAACGCTTTTCCAACCATCAGCACCGCTTTCAGAAATATCTAGGCGAAATTGAAAATAGCAATTTCATCGAATTCACTATGACGTATCAATCACAGAAAGCGCAACTGCATGCAGTGGCGCTATTACAACGTAATCGATTTTATTTCTGTGTATACAAACAATTTTGTAAACAATTCTATTCTTGGTTTTATCAAGTATGCAAAAATTTCAATTATCCAGTTTAATGCATGTCAGATTAGGATAGGTCGCTGGGTACTATGTACGGACTTACATACGTATATGTATATGTAGGTACGCATGGCAAAGTAGAAAGTCAACTAATGAGCATTAATTTATTAAAATAAACTAAAATTGAAGTGATTATATTTGCGTTGTGTCTAAATTAATGATTACTGGAAAAATTAGGTGGTAGACAGTAACGCCATTATTATACGCGTCCATATTTACAGTAACATTAACAGGTATAAAATCGTTGTTTGTTATGTACAAAATATTTAGGATTGTTATATGATAGTATTGTTTCAAAAATATCAGCCTATTGTAGTGTACGTTGTGACGATTTTATCTCTAGGGAAAAATGATGAAAAATAACGTACTTATTCTCCGAGATGGAAAAACAAACTATTTTCTTCAGCTTCTAATGAACCTATTTATTTATAGGATTTTTATATTGAAAAACTTGGCTTCGTAAAGGCGTAAAGTATGAATTTATTTACGTTTAAAAAACCGACGTAGCTAATTAAACGGTAACAGCAACAAATGTAATATGACATCATTAATGACGTTTTTGTTTCGCTGTTTTCGCAGTAATAAAAATTTGAGACGGTAAAAATCGACCCACGCGGTCAATCTACGAAATGAGGAAGTTACCTGTGGGTCTATTGTCAGAAGAAGTCGCTAATCAGTCAGATCATGAGCTAAAACTTTTGGGTGTTTCTTGGTCACCAGCTATTCCGAGGGGTATGGCCGTAAAGCCTCTTCATCCTCATTTTAAGAATAGTGAGAATGATTGGGGCAAGAAAAATGAGACGAACGAAATAAATAAATATAGAAGTGAAATGAAAGATTATCTGTGATATATTATTACTGCTCCAAAATTTGCTTTAAGCTACGGTATCGCTACACTAACAGAGCGGCAAATAGTTTCACCAATATTACGGCCGTCATAGCGTTAGCCGCTACAGATGTAAAGTTAGAAGACGCTTTTTAGGTTTTTGCATTATTTGGTATCAGCGAAAAGGTCGTTTAATTGTTTGACCAAATGACCAAACATTTAAATTTAAGTTTTTAGTTACATTGACCCTATTCCAAATATGAATTTGTTAGAGCAGGATAAATGGAATCATAGCGAATTCGAAACTACAAGACCTGCATCCTCCACTACACTTCTAAAACTAAAAAGCAATTAAAGCAACAAATGGGGGCAGATAAACCAACCCCAAGGAAAACTAAACAATGTTGTCAGTGAATATGGTCATGGAAAATATTTTTTGGGGTACAAAAGGATATATTTTTACTGAAGGATAAAACTATCAACTGTGGATGCTAACAACTGTGCTGCAACGTTTGAGTAATGAAGTAAAGAGAAAACAGCTTCAACTGGCGAAAAAAGTACAGTTGCATCATGACAAGGCATCACAACAGACTTTTAGCCAATAAATTAAAGTTGGAATTGGTTCCTCAGCCTCCTCATTCACAATATTTAACACCCAGTAATTATCGTCTGCTTGGTGATTGGCAGAGGTAAACCTAGATTAGATTACTGTTCGCAAATAGTTAAGGATGTGGGCTGTTCTAGTTTTAGAACCGAGCGGCATGGCCTAGAAGTCTAGACCATTGCTTAGCATTCGGGAGGACGCCGGTTCGATTCCGGGTCCGTCTGCTTTGGTCCAAGTTTTTCTGTGGTTTCCTTGGATCACTTAGGCAAATGCTGAGGCAGTAATATTCCACAGATAA